ATTAAATTTTATAATTGTAGGTTGGACTGAGTCTAAAATTTTATAATTGCTGGCTGGCCTAGGCTGGGTCAGACTAAATTTAATATAGCCAAATATTTTATAATTATATCTTTAAGATACAAAAAATAGTAATTATATAAAGATATAACTAATATAGAGTATACTCTATATAGTTATAATTATTTTTTTTTTGAATATTAATGGTAAGACCATGTCTCTGTCTTTATTGAAATTTAATTTAATTCTTCTACAAAGAAAAAAGTATACAACTCTCTTATGAGAAAAGAATATATAACTCTCTTACAATATATATAGTTATAATTATATTAAAAATAGAAAATTATTTAATTTACACTAGATGTATATACACATTTACTAATTTATTAATTTACAAATTTGTTTAATATATAAATTGTAAACAAAAAATTAGTATAGTTTAAGGTTAGGGTGAAGATAGCTTTAGGGTTAGAGGAGGTTATAGTTTATATTAAAATTTCACAAGGAATCTTTTTTGTTAGAACCCTGAAGTAGGTCTTATAATCAAAATTTTGAATTATCAATATATATATGTATATACATATGGTTTACAAATAGCAATCATCTTAAAAATAATATCTTATAACTATAGAAAATTTTAGAAATAAAATTTTTCTAATTTAATATTAAAATATAAAAATTATAAGGGTGTGAAAACTTAGTGAAGTAGTTAAGTTGTTGCACCCCTAAGTGATATGTTGGCAGGTTGGGATTTGAAATCTATGATAATAAAATTTTAAATATTCTGCTTGTATAATAGCTACTGTCTTTTAACAATTGATTGGAATAGAATTTCTATATCTTTGGTAGCACTAACAAGATTAGAAAATTATGAGTATTCATACAATATATAAGTTATATGAAGGCATACAAGCTAATATGGTGCTAATAGCCTTAACTCTAAAATCATGTGATTTTGTTCACTTTTCCCCAAAGATCAGGTGATACAGTTTAAACCAATCAGAAAGCTGAAAATCTATACTACAAATGTAGCAGGTAATACATATATATATATAACCCAATGATTTTTTATATACATCATACATATGTACGTATATATATACATCTGTACATACAATACTTTCAAACCCACAATATACAAATCGACCAAGAGACAAGGCCAATAATCCATTGCTTTGTGAAGATTTTTCTGAATTACCAAACCCCACAAGATTAATATTAATAATATACCAACTTTCAAATTTTTTTTTATTATATGTATATATATGCTTTTTATATTTTACTTCAATACATATATAAGTTTACAGGTTAATATTTGTATGTCTTTAGGAACTTAGCGCAAAGATTTACTTTTTTCTAGTCAAGGCAATCACATTATTGTTTTATCTATCTAGTCGAAAGCCTTGATTTTATTAATATATTATAGATAATATACAGCATGTTAAATTTTTAAAAATTATTTAATAAAATTTATAAAGCAAGAATTTTTATTTATGAAAATAAGTATAGATAAGCAATGTATTTTATTTACTTTATTTATAAGTGATTATAGATAAGTGATATATGAATATACCATTTAATCATTTACTCGAAGCCGATGATGTAATTTGAATTGCTTTACAGCTCTTTCTGCATTATATCCATCTAAGCTGTCGCTAATGTAAAACCGTTAAACCGAACTTATAAGAGGTAGTTTCGGGTGTAACAATACCTATAACATCATTTATTATTGTTTAAGCACTTAAATATGCCATTTTAAATTCATAAGTTGACGGACCGGACCTAGTTTTAAAATAAGCCCGTCCCACCCTAGATACATGTGAATTAAAAATAATGCCGCCTTTATTACCTAAAGAAATCTGGTCAAAATGGATAATTATGCAGGTTCAACACTATCTATATCGAACCATAACCAAGTAATACAATTCGACCTATTAAATATACTGTGCTTGGGAAGAAAAATGAAAACCTTGCTTTCGCATATGGTTTGCTTTATGTCTTGCTTGGGTAACTACAATTAATAAGTCATAATAAGGTTTAACACTGCAATGGATCTCGGGAATAAGAAATTTGCAACTGGTTTTACATTTGTGGGTGTATCAAGGGCTCATACATTTGATAACCCTCTTTTCAATGGTGCTAAATATGCGTTTACAAGAATATTGGATAACAAAATTGCTTCTTTATAAATTTTATAGATGTAATCTCTATAAGTAATACTATATATATCAATTTTTAAAATTTAAATATTAATTTCAAAGTGTAAAACCTGATAGAGCTCCATCCCACAAAACATTGCCATTTTTCTAGTTTTAATTAATTGCTAATTGGCTGGAACTGAGGAGAGTGAAGTGAAAATCTTTCAAGCCTTACCCCACTGAATTTAAAAATGTCCGGTTCCCGGTTTAACTAATCCTTATTCAGGTTCAATTTTGGTACACCCGAAACTACCTCTTAGAAGTTCGGTATAACGGTTTACTTTAGCGACGGATATGTTAGACGATTGGTAACGAATACCGTTTTATGCTTAAGTAAAGTATAGGGTTTATTACAGTTACGCTTTAAGAGGATTATGTGATTTGCAGTTATGAAAGAGGCAAATGGCTAAATGTATATGAAGATACAAGTAGTCGTATAAATAAGTTGATGATTTATTCAATAAGTACTCGAGTTATTCGTGTATGAAGACACTATAACTAATCTACTATTTATTCGAGTTATCTGTGTATGAAGTCACAATTACTCTTTAGATTTATTTAATAAAGTATTCGGGTTCGTGTATGAAGACACGACTACTCCTTTATTATTTGAGTATAGAATTGTTTTCTTACAAGAGCGATAAATGAGACTATTTATACATTTTGATAATTATAATCTCTTGCTATTATTTCTATTAATACATCCTTTAGCGCTACTTGGTGCTACTAATGTTACAAATGCTTTAAGACTATTAGCATATTTAGCGATACTTACATTACTGTCAAAATATAACATGATGTTTAATTACAAATTCTAGGCTCAATGTTTAGATACTGAATCTTGGTTAAAATGCATTTAATAGAATACCAATATACAGTATTAATTGATTATTAATAAAAGAGCTGTTTATCTATTAGAAATAAGAATTACCTTGTATCAAGTATTATCATAATTATACAAATATATTGAATCAAATAAAACATTGTCATTCTTTTTTTTAGTCTAGTTAACATACAGAACACCAAAAAATTTATACACCTGAACAAATTACTACAAGGAATGAAGACAAATGAAGTCAAAGAAATAAAGAAAATTAGTAAATGGGGCAATGGGTACGGTTGTTGATATCTACGGCGATTCTGGTCCAACAATATTTACATTGAATTATTTCTATTATTACACTACTTGAGAAGAAAATTCAAATTTTGCAGTTTCTTTTATGCTTTGCTTGAACAAATTTTAGAATACATTTAGATGCATCAAAAAAGTAGGTGTAGATGTATTAAATCGTAAGTTTTGCAACTTTTGATCCAACCGTATCATGCGCTTAACTTTAAACTTTTCGATTTACCCTTCAATAAGTTTTTTTTGGCTTGTTTTTTTTTTTTTTTTTTATTATCAACTTTTTCTATTGTTTTTTTTTATTGATACAGTACAACTCGAATATCTCGAATTAAATATATACATTGGATATTGTTCTTTGTCATTACACTATATTCCTTAACATTTGACCTTATTCTTTAAAATACTGAATGATCAGATTAGTCGAGATCAATGTTTCTATCCGAAATTCAAAAATAATTTCAACTAATTTTATTAAGTGATTACCCATATTTCGACGAATTCCGACGAGCAAGACTATTTATTAAGAATTAATTACCTACTTATATTTCTACGAGGCACTTTAGTCAAGATGTATGAAAAACCAATCTTGTTTACGCAGCGAAATTTGTATGTGATATTTATACAGTACAATGGAATACTGTTGGTTTTCTCTTTACCACAAAAATCAAATACCATGGGTATTACAGAAATATGTATTGTATAAACCAGCATGTAAGTAATGTACGTATACCATTGTTTGTATAGATGTAAGCTAAGAATATATGTATGATTAGCAAAACTTATAAAATTTATCTTTTATAAGTGATCCCTTTTTAATAGTTAGGGTTAGGGTGAGTGCTAATATTGATGTTAGGGTTGGTATAGTTTATAGGTAGAATCTTTTAAAGAATTTCTTCTACGAACTATACATACCACCTTAATTTCTACTATACATACTTTATTAACTATACATTACATATTTGCTATATACTCAATACCATCTAGCGCTATTGGTACGTATGTACGTACGTACATATCAATATCGATATTCTTCATACCTGACATACATTGGCCAACCATAACGATAACATGATGCGCGCGCTTAAAATCAAAGCAATAAATAATTTATAATAAAAGACGTATATCGATATATAGGATTACCTTTTTGAGGTGTATATTTTTATCGAATTTAGGTTTAATTAGTTTATATAAGCAAAATTGTCTTCCCGACATTTTTTAGTAATCCATCCAGTGTAGGTTCAGATTTTTTTCTTTGCTTCTTCGAGGATATCAAAATTTCCACAAACAAGTCCCGATAAATAAATTTGACTAACTTCAAAATGCTAATCCTTGTTCATAAAAAACAATAAACAAACAATCTCTTCATAGAACATTAAAACCATACAAGCTTGATGGTCTTAAATTTTTTTAAATTTATTTTTAATAAAATATATAGTAGAGAATTAAAGCGTTTAAAATATGCTATATTTATATATATTAAACACACTAAATTTGGCTGCTCTATATTTTAAATCTGGCCACACTATATTTACAATTTGGCGTTTTATGCGCTGTATAATTTGATTGGTTAGATTTCACGTGATCTTGTACGACTCCTTTTTTACTCCGTTCTTTTTCACACTTCTCTAAATGGTAATCTCTTATTGTAATTTCGTAAACAGTTTTATGTTACTGAAGAAATGACTGACGTAAAGTTAAGGTCCTCTAATAATCGCTCAAGAACAAGTAGTGTTAATGGCTCAAGAACAAATAGTGTTAATGCATCTACCGATGCCAATTTAAAACAATCCGAAAAAACTCCTTGTAAAGATACTAATAGTCTAGAAATCGCGAAAAGTTTAAAATTACTTTCCGCGAAAATTGTGTCAATGGAGAAACAATTAAATGAAAATTCAAATCAATTTTCCATAAATATTAAAAACCTTGATGAAAGTGCTTCACTCTTTCAGGACAAAAGTTATTGGCAAATTAAGATTAACTCTCACTTAAGGTATGCGTTGATTAATAATTTCATTTTCTTTTCCATTCCTTTTGAATCTAAATTTAAAAATCTTTTTTATAATTGTAGATTGGCCAAAAAGTATTGTGAATATATTCATCTTAGTTACTCTTCGGCTGTGAAGCATGACATTGAATCAAGATGTTGGAAAATTTCGTTTTACTCGTTAATTGAACAATTTCGTCAAGCAATTTCTTTGGAACGACGTCAATCTTCAAATAAACCATCATCATCGTCGTCTACTGTTATTTTAAGTCAATTCAACATCTTTTTAGATGAAGTTGAAATGTTTTATAAAAAGTTAATAAAACTGATTTCTGAAAATTCGAAGCTTAGTAGTAAGCATTTGGAGAGCAATAAACCTCCAAGGTGGATACGTTGTATAGGTTGTTTGGGGGACATTGCTAGATACCGTTGGTCATATTGCTCGGAAGATCAAGAAAAGAATAAACAATTCTGTGCTGAAAATGCTTCTCGATGGTATCGTTTAGGAATTCTACTCAAGTCTAATAATGGTATAATAATTTATTTTCTTCTCGCACTTTTAATATTTTTACTCGTAGTTAAACATTATATTAGTGTAGATATATATATATATATATCTTTATTTATTTATTTACTTTATTTATTTATTCCTAGGAAAACTTTATAATCATTTGGCTATTCTCGCGGGACAGGATGAGTTTAAAACATTATATTATTATTGTAGAAGGTACGCATATATGTTTATTAGCGTAATCTATTAATCTGTCTATATCATATTTTATTTCATTAATATAACAATTTATATTTCCACTTAAAGCCTTA